TTTATATACAGTGTTAGCCTTAAATGTATGCCAATAAAATTGCTGCTCAGACTTTGATATGTGTTTTTGTTATTTCATCTGTTCTTTATGGGTTGACTACCAACGTGTTAGATTTCAAGATTTTATTATTACCTTCTAATCTTGGAGTTGGAGTAGAGAGTCCAAATTATGTGACAGCTAGATTTATTTCTCATGACTAAAAATAACTGCACTCCATGGACTTCGAAAGTCACTGAAGACTAACAAGTTACCAGTTAGAACATGTTAGTTAATTGTCAGAAGTGCACGTATGACCTGCATTCAAATAATTTAGAAATGCTGGTGCTAAGGCTTTTTTAATTGTGGAGAAAGAAAAAAAAGCTAGATTCCAAAAGGCATTGAGATGGTAATTGTAAAGCATTAAAAATTATTGTAAAATCTATAACATAATGACGTAAATATATAACAGTTTTTTGTTTTTTTGGTTTTTTTAATGACGTAACATATTGTGCACGCGAAGGTTTTCAGTTTGAGAATGCATGACGCATGCTTACGAATGTGATGCCGTATGAATCGTATTTGACTGGTCGTTCTTGGTTAAACCACACCCACCTGCGCAGTGGTAAAATTCTCTTGACTCCATAATGGTAAATATTATACATGTAATTATTTTCTGAAATTTAATCTAAATTATATTACCTCAAATGTTGTTGCTAAACTGACAAATCGGCCTTGTTTGTTTTGGTCACGTAGGCCTAGATAACTTATTGCAAATTAACGCTGATTAAACCCTGTGGTGTTGTTTAAGTTGCTGTCTTCTCAGGCGCGGATCCAGGATTTTCCCTGACCTTCGCACAGATGGGGGTAGTCCTTGCAGTGGTGGATCCAGCAATTCGAAATAAAAGGTACCCAGAGAGGGACCTTTACAAATAGACACCTCAGCCATACCATATTTGGGGCTTAGGTAAGAAATATTAGATTACGTCGCCTCTAGATGGCCGATAATGGCACTCTCAGGATTGGAATATAATTTTCAGTTTTTTCTCCATTCTTGAAAAAAATAATTTTGCCTTAACTGTATGGAAAAAAATGTGTCCGGGCCGGCTGGGTACGTGTTTCCCTTGAATCCGTCACTGCATGGGGGAATCCTCTAACACTCAGTTGACCTTGGGTTTTAGTAAAACCAATATTGCTTATTATGGAATTTCTATAAAAAGATAAACGAATATATTGTATAAGATTACTCAGACACGCCTTGAATATCATCATATTACAAATAAAGACCTGAATGGAGATATTTCCCCTGTATCAAGAACTTTGAGGGCACGAAGGTTAGCATTTGCTGGACATTGATACAGAATTAATGAAGTTATTTCAAGGGTTCTCTTTTGGGAACCAGCCAATGGGAAATGGAAGCAAGGAAGGCCCTATCTACATACATCGAGCAATTAGAAAAGGATCTAAACACACAGCGGCAGTAGGCCTACATTCCACAACTTATATGGAAAACATTTTTTTTGTGGAGAACAGTCATAACAAAAATTATAACTTTGCTCACCATTAACCGGGATGTGCCCAATAAAGAAAATATTAAAGTACGAGTACCTATTTAATTAATTCCGTTTTGTTTTACTCAATTCGTCAAAAATAAAAAGATTTAGAAGGTAATTTAATTTCCATTTCCGGGGAAATCTAGAGGTATAAAATACTGAAATTTTTGCGTCACCGCCAACCACGGTGTGGACTCTCATTTCGCAGTACCCTCCTTTTCATAATTCCTTGATAGGCCTACGTCACTGTTGCTGGGAACAATTTAAGTCAAATATATTTTCATTCGTTTTGTTGTTCATGTGAATGTCTAATACAGTACGTTGCTCTATAACAACAATGCTAAAAAAAGTGTCAATGCCAACATAGACACATATGTACGACTGAACTGAGCGGACTCCCCGTAGTAGGCCTAGTGGTTACGTAACTTTCGTTATGCATGCACTGTTTATTTCATGCGCTAGATAGTGAAAAACCATATATGTAATCAGAATGTATCTCTCTGGTAGGGCCTCGTGTAAGATATAAGCTAGTGTGGATTTAAGCAATGTCCCCTAATGGTAATGTTCAAAATAAGTGTCAAGGAAAGTAAGTACGATTGCTGGAAAAATGGTCAATATTTTTTTTTTCACCATGACCTTCGTCTGGGCGAAGGTCTGGATCCGCGCCTGCTTCTAAACCAACGAATCAAAATCATACTCAACGAAAAGTCGATTATGTCCAATGCTACGTCGAACCATTTTTGGTACACGAACAAACTAGTACAGTTGAATGTTAGAGCTCTTGCTCATTCAGTCAATAAACCTGTACCCTAATAATAATTTGCCCATGTTATTAGGTAGATATAGGCTAATTATTATGTAAAAATCCTTGCCGAGCCACTATAGAATCTGGAGCTTATTCCCATTTTTTAAATAGCATGAAGCGGAACATGAGTGTGATAATCTCCCTAGGTGGGACGTGGCAAAGGTTCCAACCCTCCGATTCGATCGGAAGTCTCCCGAAACTCTACTCCCAGACCGAAGCAATGTATATAAAGTCACGGGCCTTGCTTAAGGACACGTAAGGCGATTGCACAGCAAAGGATTGAAACCCCGACCTCAAGTTGGGGAAAAAACCAATTTTCCATTCTACCGCCTCCACAGGTATAGTTATAGTCAATATGTAATAGGATAGTCAAGATAAAAAATAAAACGCAATTCCTAATTAGCTTTTGTATGAGTAGCCTTACAAATAAAATTTACAATAAGGAGACGTGATCTATTCAATTTATGCTAGTAATCATCATCTTTATAGCAATATCTTGGCTCGTAAAAGATACCTAATACCAAAAAAAAAAAAAAAAAGGAAGCAACGATAATATAGCTAAAGAGGAATTAGCCATGAACCATATTCCAAACGGACGTTTTGGAAAGGTGTATTGTATGTGAAGCCTGCTTTCCTAAAAAACCTACGCTGTCGCTACAGTTTTTTCTTTAACCTTGGTTTCTTTCGCTACACTGTCGCTATCAGTGTTTTCAGTGCAATCGTTGTAGGCTACTGCGTGGTAGTCCTCGACGCAATAGGAAAGGCTCCGATTCGACCAACAATACATTATAGATTCCCATTCCTCAGCTGATTCGGAGTCACACAACATATTAGGCGAATCTGCGTATAGTTCACTGAATTAAGGTGTAGTGATTATTCGAAACAAAAATCTAGGCTCGGAAAAGGATAACTTAAACTATATGTAAGCAGCAGAATAATAATAATAATAATAATAATAATAATAATAATAATAATAATAATAATAATAATAATAATAATAATAATAATAATAATAATAATAATAATAATAATAATAATAATAATAAAAAAACCTCCATGCATTTAGTTTAACTTTTATCATTAAATGTCGGATAAAAATGATATAATAGGCCTATAATGATATTATTATATTAACAATATTTATAATATAATAACAATAATGATGATGGACATGGTGACAATAATAATAATAATAATAATAATAATAATAATAATAATAATAATAATAATAATAATAATAATATAATATCAATAATATAATAACTGACCACAACTACCACCCTCTGCCTCTGTAAATGAAACGTGTTATCAATTTTTATTTATATTTTCTACTATATATATGCATATATATAATATATATATAATTATATATATATATATATTATATATATATTATATTAATATTATATATGTTTTTCGTTTATATATGTATATATATAATATTGGTATTTCAATATCTAATCTAAAATCAAAGATGCATATTATGCAGAATCTATTTTTGTACCGGTACTTTTTATTAGTACAGTAATCTTATATTTGATTTTAATTAAATTGGAATAATATTAATAAATAGGCCTAGGTCAATATGCTTGAAATTTAATTATTATTATTATTATTATTATATTGGTAAATTAAAAATCTATATTAGTATTTCTATTTATAAAGTAGCGTGTATACTGTATATTGTAAATTAAAATTTATAGTGTACAGTATCCATTCTTTGATAGGCATTCGGTATAATTATTTTTGATTAGTAACAGCAAAACATCAGCAAGAGGAACAAAAACATCATCAACAACACAGTGGCGGAACCAGGAATTCAAAATAGGGGGACCCAGGGAGGGACTTACACAGATGGGAGGTTAGACCACCTCAGTCCCACCATGGTTAGGGTTAAGGCAAGAAATTTATGATTATAGCACCTCTGCAGACATAGAATGAGAATTTTTATCTTTTTATTTTCTCCATTTCCTTAATTTTTGACAAAGTTAGGGAGGGGAGCGGGACGGTTGAGTCCACTTGAATCCACTGTAACAATAGTAAACATTATATCCACGGGACGCCATTGTATTAAAACATAAAAACCGATAACAAGATATTCAGTAATCAAATTTTCTTTTAAGAAATAAAAAAAAAGGAAAAAAAAGGTCAAATTAAGTGTCGTAATATTGTATGTAAACCAAAATCGATATTTATTATTTGCATGGCATTTCCTTATAAGCAAATTGTAATATACTAAAGATAAATGGCTGTAACCTCACAATTAGGAATTCATGTTATTCTGTTGTTAAAGAAAATTAAAACCGTATATAGTCCAATACTTTAGTAGACATTCACACATCAATCTTAACCTTGGTGGCAAACACAATAATACACTGACTTAAGTGTTTGAAGTGGGGACCTATATGCTCCTCGTATATCGACATTAGCCAGCATTTAGTACGTTTATATTTTGTAATGTTGCTAATCCATGCTCGTTCGTGGTGTTTTCTGTTGCTGTTGTTTAGAAGTGGAATCTCACGTAAGTTTCTTTGATCTTTTAAAACGTTTCAATTGAAATTTTAGACAGATTACACCTGCGTATGATTCTGGTTTATAATCATCACGACGTCAACTTACTTTTTATATTTCAATTTATATTAAATTACAAAGCAAACTTAAAGGTAAATACAAAGTAAAACGCAATAAGCTGTTTAAAAGACAAATTATTAGCTTACCACTGGCCATCGAAGTTGGATACATATTGGAAAGTTTGTATTGCAAATTAATAGTTAGTAGTTAATAAGTAGTGTACGAGAATGGGTGCCGTATTAACGCATTAACAGAGAGTTTTAATATGCTGCCTCCGATCGCATTTGAATTCTATGCAGGGTCCCGGTAACCTTGGTGAAAACGTCTGCATAGACAACAGAAAGCTAAACTTACACTTTATATACATTGTTGTTAATTATGGTGTACGGTTAATCATTTAAGAAATAATTTTGTTTTATCTGTGTCATTGTGAATTAACTTATTTGATGATCTATTAATGGTATTATTATAACATTTTTAACGTTTTCCACTTTGAAACACGGTATATATTTAAGGCTAAACTTCTTTCAATAATACATCACGATGGATGGGAATCACAAATGATATACATTTTCCTTTATGAACATTCGTAGAATACATGATCATAGCGTCAAAATTGGGCTTGCGTCAAGTAATGTATGCATATACTGTATCGGATGACATACAAGACCAATCGCTCGAGTTCACCACAATACCGTTTACGATAACTGCAGACGCGTTATCGTACAATCCCGTCGACGAAATGGTTTATTGGGCGGACGCTTTGAGCATCAGGAGGGTGGCGTTAGACGGGACAAATGACGAAACACTGATTAGCAAAGGTGAGTTGACATGTTCTTTCTATTGATAATACTCTAATAATTTGATACATGACTTACATTAAGAAAAATACAAGCTATATATTAAAATACGATAAACAAACATATATTGTATGTGATGATACATAAGTTTTTGTGGTTTATTTTGTAAGCCTATAATATGATCATTTAAGTGTGTACATGAATAAACGTTATTATGGTTTTTTTTTTCTATTTACTGGAAATTTGAATTGTTTTTACGTTAGCTTAAGTATTTTTTAAACTTTTCTGTATTGTTTTTGGACGCACCTTCTACTGAGAAGTGTGCCACTGATGGAAATGTGTAGTTCCTAATAAATTATTACTATTGATGGTTAATAGTAGAGTCAATGGTTGTGCACTTGTATGCAAGGGCGTCGATCCGTGGTTGAAAGTGTAGGGACGGGGGACGAATTGCAATACAAGGAAGGTGGTTTACTTACTGTAATTTATCATTATCATGACGTCATGGCGAGATTGCGTCAACGTAGCATCGGAGTATAGTTGTTGTGGTATCACTACTTAAATAAAAGCCAAAATAGATAGTCCTATTCGTGTGTCAAATGCTATAACTACAATTATTGTTTAATAACGGCTATATAAAATTCAATTGACTATTAAATGCTAGTATATACAGGTTTTTTTAATATACAAAAGGAATAAGTGTGAAGTAGAAATTGTGCGCTTTTAAATTTGTAAAAATGTTGGCCTAATAGGTTTATAGGCTTCCAATTTTAACAACGTACAGTACATTGAACTTGAAAATTTGGATATTTTGAAATGAAACAAAGGCAGTTAATTAGGTGACGTTGTATGTCTTGATGTTTTTAAGATTTATACTCACAATAGAATCTTACTTCTCCATTAGGGCCTACAGTAATGGGGATATTGAAAATTGAGTTTTATATTGTGTTAGTGTACTCCTTTTAGTTATATTGCATTTTATTGTATCTTAGGAACACGCGCACTGACATTAGACGTGGAACGCCAGTCAATGTATTTTTACGATGCACTCACCTGGTATATGAAATCTTGTGACGTCACTGGGGCAAATTGCCAAAACCTGTTTATGTTGGCCGGCGGCGTCCCTATCATTTCCATGAAATTTGATGAAAGCAGTGGGTGAGTTACGAT